AAATGAAGAACAAAAATGAAAGAATGAAAGAAATGAAAGAACGAAATTCCGGCCAAATTATGAGGGGTACGGTAGTTTTACCACGCTTTAAAGTGCCAACCCAGGATTTCCTCGGAAAAAGGTCTCAAGGCAATGAAGTTGCGAGCAATTTAACCAAACTCTATTTATTTATAAAGAAAAGTTCCAGAAAAGTTTTCAAATCCGACTTTTAAAATTGAGAATTTCAAATAGAGAATTTTCTTCGTTTGACGCGATAACGGATCTTTTAGAGGACTAGAGGAACGCCCAAAAAAAGTCAGGGATGACTTCGAATTTTCAAAATTCGTCTTTTAAAGTCTTTTATACAAATCATATAAATATATAAACTATAAAGACGTTCAATAATTTGATTAAAACTTAATTTGTTTCAATTATAATTGATTGTTAATGTTTTGCAGAATATGTTTCAAAAACAGTTCAAAATCGAGTACAAAACAGTTTAAAATAGAGTACATTGATCTTAGCGAGAGACCAGAAGCTACACATTGATCTTAGCCAGAGACCAGAAGCTGCACATTGATCTTAGCCAGAGACCAGAAGCTGCACATTGATCTTAGCCAGAGACCAGAAGCTGCACATTGATCTTAGCCAGAGACCAGAAGCTGCACATTGATCTTAGCCAGAGACCAGAAGCTGCACATTGATCTTAGCCAGAGACCAGAAGCTGCACATTGATCTTAGCCAGAGACCAGAAGCTGCACATTGATCTTAGCCAGAGACCAGAAGCTGCACATTGAGCTACACAACACAAAATTAAAGCCACGGACAGAGTTTGTGCGGGAAATTTGAACAAAAAGGACAAGAGAACTTCACTTTTACATTCACTTGTATTGTCATTCATTGGCAAATTGTCAAATGAGCAACTTTTCCTCAATCGCATTTGGATCGGTGAAAATTTGAGCTTTACTTTTGCTCAAAATCAACCATCAAAATCAATCGTATTCAGGATCAAATAATTTCTGAAAACTCTAGAACTGACAACTCAAAAACAAGAAACTAATCTTTACAAAAAAGATCAGCCTGCAAAAATTTGAATGAGCTCTCATGAAACAATGTTTGTTCAAGAAGATTTCTCCGATCTTTTCACGCACTTCCGATCTCTTCGCCTTTTGAATGACTTCAGCGTCACCATGGACATTCAAAACAAAAAGGGGAAAAGAAAAGAAAACAAAACAAGAGAAAAAAAAGAGAAAAGAGCTCATAAAAGCTAGAAAATCATCGTTGGCTTGTTGTTGACTTTTGGTACTTATTACTTCCATCGTTCCTAAGCTAATGGTTTAACCAAAATATAATACTTGGTTACAAAATATAATACAGGTAGTTAAACTGGTTTATATTAGGTTGGCGAAGCAGCCATTTCGTTTCTTTTTGAAAGATTCAGATCAGAAGCCAGATGCTGTCCTGTTTAAGGCATTTTTAAGATATGTTTAAGGCCCACAAAGTCTCTGGGCCTTTCCCTGGCATTGCCTGCTCTGGTCTGGCTCAGAAAATGGTCAGTTTCTGGCCTAAAGCTAGCCTTTTGTCCAGAAATGACTTAACTTGTCTGTCCTTTTGTCCTGGTATGGCTTTACTTGCCTTTACCACGGATTTGACCCTAGCCCGGTTCATAGAAGTCCCAAAAATCCAAAAACCTGCATAAACTTGGCTTCTGGACTGGCCTATTTTGACTAAATGGATAAAAAAATCGTACAAAGTATCAAGTGAAGAAAGCGGAAACGAAAGGAAAGGGAAAAGAAGTCGAAAGTTGAAAGTTAAGCTGTTTTTGGGATTTCTAGGGAAAGAAGGGGGAAAAGAGGGAAATGAAGGGTCCCAAAGGGGAGGGCAGAGGCTAAGGACTCCTCCCGCCGGGTGGATCCGCTTACGGACCTCCTTCCGAAATTCCTCTCCTTCTTGAGATCCCCCTGGCTTTCGCTTTTCGGCTTTAGTGTGCATACAAATGGGTTTCGGATAAAGTAAAGTTTTTCGTGCACAAATTGAGCTATACTAACAGCTATTGTTCCAAGGTATAGTCAAAAAGCCGGCCAGGATCAGCCCAGGATTCCTGGTTGGCTCAAGTACATTTAAAGAGTTTCTGCAAAGTTTCACGATGCAAACTAAACTGTTTTGCCACTCCAGGACTGGCTGAACCAGGACGAGTTTGGTAAATTTGCATTTTAGCCTACCTATTACAGTAAACTTCTCACAGCTATTAGTGGGTTTGGGCTTTGGCTGATAATACAGTAATTGAGAAGTTACTGATCATCAACTGATCTATTGATCATCAACTTATCTACTGATCATATTGAGCATTATCCCCTAATGAAACAATAAGTAGTAAAGGTACGAATCGACTGGGTAGAACCACAGCACTACCTCCGTTAATCCCCGTACTCCAATACCAACTAACGCAAAGTTGAAAGTCTTTGAAGACTGGTCCAATCCAGATTAATAAAGTAATGAATGGTAAGGAAAGATTTCCGGAGAGGGGATTGAACTCTCGACTTTTTCCAGGCAGCTTTCCAAGCAGATGCTCTAACCACTGAGCCAACCAGTATCTTCTTGCCAGAGAGGAAAGAGGGGAAAAGAAATGAAGAAAGTGAAGGAAATATCCGGCATTACAAAATACAAATCCAATCAGTAAGAGGGTAAGTTAGTCAGGCGAATATTACTCCAGAGCCCGCTAGGCTCCGAGAAAAGTTCCTTAAACGTACTTTTCTTCCAGAAAGTTTCCGGTAAAACTTTCCACTGAAACTTCCCGAGGAAAAGTACACTCCACGAGAAAACTATGGACGTTTTAAGATCAAAGGTGCCGCCGTAAAGATCAGAGACGCCGCCGGAACTTTTCCCGGAGCGTAGCATACGGGCGCAGTATTCAAAACATTACCATCGAAATAGGGGACAGTTCCAGTTCTAAGTAGGAGTCAGAGTACTAATCCGTTCAAATTCAGATAAAATATTGAAATCTGTTGATTTAGGATAGGAAAATAGGCGATTGACTAGTCAACTAGGATCTTTTTGCCCATTTTACCCTTTCAAAGGATCTCGCAAATTCGATTTCTTTGGGTCATCCCCTTTTCAGCTATCCAAGCCGGAAAATTGGATAACCTTTTTTTTGGGTCCAATTCAACAAATAGATCGTTTCGGGTTTCGGTCTTGTTTTTTGGGATTGGATGGGATGGAAAAAGATGGAAGCTGATGGAGTTTTTTTTGGGATAAAACCAAATGGAAACTCTGATTTGTTCAAGAAAACTTTGTAAAACGTTTGAAGAAGTTTTCTTTTAGATAAATTTTAGATATTTAAGTAGCGAACAAGCTAGTAAACTAGTAAAGTATCGAATAATGCTGATTGTAGTTTGGAGATTTCAGACTAATCAAATTAATCTAATTAGCCTCTCATTGACGGTCATAATCTAGAGAAAATTTCCCTAAATATCTAGATTTGAGTTAGTAGTCTCGCAAATTGACGAGCCTGGCATAGAAACGCATCCCTTCTGTTGCACTGAATTCTCCATTTTCTCACAGCAAAATGAGCAAAATGAAGAATTCAGTGCCCCAGAAGAAATGCGTTTACATGAGCACAAAGTCCATCCAAACTCCTTAACTAAAAGCCCTAAATTGTAAGTCTCAAATTCCCACATTTGTCACCATTGAAACAATTGTAAAAGATGAGATAAGAATTGTGAATCAAGCGTGTAAGGCAACAGCTTGTCCATTCCATTCTTTCTTCTCCAAAAAGGTCATTCATTTATCTTCTTGGCGATCATCGGTGAATTCAAAGAGCTGAAAGGGTGGTGGATTGAATGATCCTTTGGGAAATCTTCTTGTGGAATCCCGGGAACCACAAAAACTAGTCAATTTTGATTTTGGGGAACTCTTTTATACTAATTTCACTTTTTTTTCTCTCATAACTGTAAGAATAAGGTTTAGACGTGTGAATTCAAGATTAGAAGAGAAATGCACTAAAACAGAGATCACATTTAGAAATTTGACTATGCTATGCAGAATAAGCTTAATTTAATTTCACTGCTGCCTTTTTGTCATCTTAAAGTACTTCCAAACAATATTTTGACGCGGAATGCGGATGCGCTAGAAAGCGCGCATTTGATATCCAAGTCAAGTTCGCCTTTTCATGCACTTCACAAATGTGTGCAACATCTGTAGCTTTTGGAAATGGGATGAGGATCGGGCGGGTAATCAGGAAGACAATCCGAGGGAAAGGGAAGCATCGGAGGGAAAAGGAAGGGGAATCCAATTCACACGCGGACCTCAATGAGGCCACGGGTATGGCCTTCGCAAAACACTTGTGATCATGGGTGTCATCATCATCTTTGTGAGTATTGCAAGATGGCAAAAAACAGCAGTGACATTAAACTAAGCTTAAATTAAGCTTATTCGGCATAAGATAGTCAAATTTCTAAATGTGAACTCTGTTTTGGGGCATTTCTCTCCAAATCTTGATCTTCTAATCTTGAATTCACACGCCTAAACCTTAATTGAAATTAAATTCACGTAAAAATTGGATTGAAATTTCAAAGATAAGCTTTAAAGGGCGTTTTTTAATCACTGGGATATGGGCAGGGGCGTAGCCAGAACTTCGCGACTTTCAGTCTAACGCCCGGAGCTCCTCGTGGCTACCCACAATCAATTTCCGACCAAAAAATTATTTTTTTAAATTTCCGGCTACAAAACTGTCTAAAATGTTTTTTGAAAAAATTCGAGGGGTTCGAGATTTTGCATTTTGGTGCAAAAATTTCGATAAAACGAGTTTTTAGGCCTGGATAATTGATTTCAAAAAACTAACTTTATGATTTTCAGAAAATAGGGGAGTGCAAACCAACATGAAAAACAGTTGCCTTTCTAGTTTGCCTAGAACAAAAAACAAAGAAAACAGGGGTTAACACACTTTTAAAAAAATATTACTACACCATCATTATGGCTTCCTCTTGTAGAGCGAATCGCTGTAGTCTTTGCGCATCATTTCATCGACCGCCTTCAGCACCACCTAAAAAAGCATAAAAGTGCGATCGCGGAACTTGAACCACTCAAGCCTTTGCTTAAATCCGGTATCAGTTCGCGCGCCTCATCACACAAGCCACCGAAACGACCGATCAACGACTCCATTTCTGAAATAAGAACGACGTTTGAGCAAATTACTAGCAACCTTATTTCAATTTTGTTCACCTACACGTACTATGTTGAATTAATACCGATATCTTTCTTCTAAAAACATTGAATTTAAAATTTACCAGCACGTAGAAGAACCTCTCGGTCCTCAAGCGGTGATAGGAACAATGGATCCGGAAAGTCTTGAAGCTGCTGCTGCTGCGAATTGCGAAGACGACCATGGCCTAAAATGAAAGATGGCCTATACGAACAATTAGAGCCACACCCAGCTTAGCACTGTTTGACAAAAGTAGTTAAACATGAAGGCTCTAAAACTAAACCTTCAGCTACCTACTCACTTTGAATCTTTTTTGCTTGTCTGCGTCGTTGTTCAATCCTCTTTTCTTTTTCCTTTTGTTCCTCATAGGCGTCGAGTTTCAGAAAATACGAATTTTCTAAAAAGCTTAAATTTTAGACTTTAAGCCTCAACACAACCTGTTTTTGCTTTGAATTTCGGCAGCACCCGAGGCGTGTGTTGGAAGTCGCGTAAGTTCAATGGTAATGGGACATCTAAAGGGCCACATTTAAATCAAGTCAAACAAGAGCAATACCTTTATCCTCGTACAAATCTTCTCGGGGAAGTCTCCAGTCGTATTCTGGCAACGTCAAGTCTTCATAAACGCGTTCTCTTGGCTTCACTAAAAAAGATATTGTTTGACAACGATCAAACATTAACCTGGTGTCCGAAGGGGTTCCTGATTCAAATTTGGAGAGAGTGGTTGTTCCTCTTCTTCGGTGCCAATTTCCGGAACGTCCACGACCAGCCAAGGAGAGGACGATGAAATGGATACATCATTCTCGAAACGCGGTGGTGTGTTCCGACTGCTTGTAGTGGGCGTGAGAGCACCTAATGACGTTTCCTAAATATTAACAAAAACTTAGCTGCTAGGTCTCTGACAATACTATTTTATCTACCCCATAAAACGCTATTTTAGACTAAAATCTTTATACGCAATTCCTAGACAAAACATACCATTTCTTTCTTCGCTCTTCCTCCTGATTGCAAATTCTTTCCATCATTCTTGGCTACGTTCCTCGGGGTCGAGATGCGACCGGTTGAAGCTTTGGGTCTCTGCAAACAATAGCATAAACTTAAATTGATCCTCAGTATTTTTGTTTTAAAAACTACCTTAACCTCCTCGTCAGATGATGAAAACATGTCGATTGAACTCAAATCCTGCCATGCCCTTTTGCGCACCGGTCGTCCCCCATATGTTGGCTGCGCGAGAATCAAGTCGAGCGCTTCCATGTTCACTAAAAGTTTCATTATTTAGAAACTAAAACAAAAGTAAATACTTCTTAGTACCTGGTTCAAGTTGTTTCTTTGGCCGACCGCGCTTCTTTGGGACTTTATTCTAAAAGAATTTCTGAAGAGACAAAAACATCCTCCTACCTCAGGAATCTTTTCCTTTCTAGGTCGACCACGAGGACGTCCGATGAGTGCGCTTAGAGTTGATGATGCGCTAGAAGATCCTTGAGATTCCTTTACCATTTCATCTGCAATATAAAAGTAAAGGAATTTAGTGATAAATCGAACCTTTTTGCAGCTGACTTTTGTCATTCTTTTGCTCCTTCGATGAATCGATCCAAACCACATCGTCATCGTTCACATCATCATTCGCGTCAATTCTCACGAAGATTGGCTCTAAAAGCCGAATTGGTAAATTAAATATTTTTGACTAGCTACCGGCATTTTTTTGTTCTTCCGGTCCACCAAGAAAAATTATATCATCGTCATCATCGTCAGACGGGAAGGTTGAAGCTACAACACCAAATTCACTCAGGAACTATTGAATCCGTTAACGAACCATTGATTGGAGAAGCTGGAGTTATGAGTACATTACTCAATGCTGGGATCATCAAACTCGAAATTTTCGTCTTTGATGCATGGAGTCGATGAAATGGTGGAGGCACGCGTTTCTCCACAATGGAGCGTGGGTGGTTGTTGGTGTGACGAAGCAAACTATCGAATTCTAAAAGAAAGATTAAAGATAAAAATTAAAATGATTTCATCTGATAGCTCTGCCCAAGTTGAAATTCTATATCTTTTAAGAAAACAAAAACTTACTCTCTACACTGCTGAGCATTTCTGTTCTTAAATGCTTTGCGACCTGTGCTTTGGGACGTCCTTTCTTTGGCGTTTCCACCTCAGTCTTCTTGTTGTCGCCCTGTTCGGAAAGAGCGCGTCCTCCTGAAACATGAAAACGATGAATCTTCTAATATTTCCCCTAAAATGTATTCTTTAATAAGATTCACTTGTTTAGATTTTATCTGCACTTTAAAACGTACTTCTCTTAGCAATGCTTACTCCTTCTGGACCGATCGGTTTCCTGCTTTTGCTATCGGTTTGTTGACCATTCGTTTTATCACCCAGAACAAGAGGTGTACCGCGCACCTGGACATTTGGGCCCCTTTTTTTTTGCTGGAAAACGCCTTAGGAAAGGTCGTAGAGCTTCAAAAATGTTTTCATAGAAGGGAATCGTATGCGTAGATCCCGAATACGCAACTTAACGCTTTTCCGCAGTTTTTGCCTTTTAGCCCAAATTTGACGTGTCAGCGAGGTCTGATTTGTCGAAATTCGGAATCGACGCATACGATTCCCTTATATGGAAATATTTTTGAAGCTCTACGACCTTTCCTAAGGCGTTTTCCAGCAAAAAAAGGTGCCCAAATGTCCAGGTGCGCAAAAAAAAAGGTAGCATTTGTCCCACCCCTGAAATGACATAAAAAATCGGAAAACAGAGCGCTTGATGATGAAAAATTTTTATAAAATAACATTAAAACGAACAAAAGTAGAGAAACCTTTAGAACTTAGAGCCTTTAGAATAAAAAAAAATGTTTTTCGAGACGTTTTCACGTTTAATTTGTTTCTGTCGCAAATTTTAAGTTAAATTTCGCGCGACGTCGCATTCCAATTGACGTCGCCGACATTTGAAGGTGGTCGATGGGAGCGCCGCGTCGTCGCTTCTTTTTCATTTTCAAATCATTTTTTTGTCAGATTATTGTTTAATTGAAATTTTTTATTCACGGATTCATGTAAACTTTATTTAAAATTAACAACATTAATCATATTCATTTAAAAAATAACAAATTATTCAATATGGGCACCTTTATTCTTGATAACGGCTTTAAGACGCTTTGGATAACTTTCCACGGTGGCCCGCAGGGTACTTTGTGGAATTTTTGCCCAGGCTTTCTTCAGAGCCTTTTTCAGACTTTCAACGTTTGCATGTTTTGTTGTGCGTGCTTTTTGCTCCAAAATTGCCCAAACACAGAAATCCATAACATTGAGGTCGGGCGAATTAGCTGGCCATTCATTGGCGGGAATGAAGTCGGGCAAATTGTTTCGACTCCACTCTTGGGACTTTTTTGCTTTGTGCGCTGGGGCGCCGTCTTGCATCAACGTCCAGCGCTGATTTTGATAATGTCCTTGACTCCACCGCTGTATATGTTTCGTGAGAACATCCAGATACACGTCTGTGTTAATTTCCAGCCCTTTATCAACGAAAATCAACGGCGTGCGACCAGTTGCTGACACCCCTGCAAAAAACATGACTCCTGCTGGATGTGAGTTCCTGTCCACAAAACGGGCACTTTTATTTGCTTCTTGAGGGCTGTGAGCCAAAATTCGATCATTTTGAGAGTTGAAAACTTGCTCAATGTTGAATAATTCCTCGTCGGTAAAAAGCGTCATCAGATGCTCATCATTTGCGGCCCTTGCAAGAAGAAGAGCACATTTTTGCTTCCTGTTTCTCATTTGAAGATCCGTCAGGCCATTATGCTTCCTTAACTTGTAAGGGTGAAGACCCAAATCCTTTTTGACGATACGACGGATAGTTCTATCAGAAACATTCAATTGGGGAGCCATTTTTCTCTTGCTCATAGCCATTTTAGGGCATTTTTGAACCTAAACTTTGGGGGCTCAAAAAAAATTTTCTACTGAACCAAATGAGCTAATTTCAAAAATTTATCATAAAATATATGTATTATGAACATTTTTTATGTGGGTGACTTTTTGATTGCACGTCCGGAAATACCCTCATTCGTTAGCGGCTGAATTTCGTAAACGGCTACGACACATATACCGTATTCTCTCTAATAGTAGTGCACCCTGAGCGTCGCCTAAATTGTTCGAAATCTCGAGAACCGCTTATCAGAACCTATCGATGTGGGGTCGGAAAATGTAGCTGACGATGAGATCTTGTGGGGGATTAGAGTGTTGAGCTCCTGCAAAAGCTTGGAAACCGTAAAATCGTCACCAACTCGGCTCGCCGGGGTTATTGTAGGATTATTGTAGGGGTGCACTACTGTTAGAGAAAATACGGTAGGCATATGCAAATCTGTCAGTGCTCGCATTTTCGCGGATGTTCGATGTGCCATCAAAACTCAGCGCAAAAAAAATCTTCAGTTAAGCAAAGTGGGCCACTTTTTTTATGGACCACCATGTATTTTAGTTTCTTAAATTTTCAATCTCTTATTAAAAAGTCTTATCAAGAAAACTTTGCAAGTGGTTGCAGACAAATTTCTCTCAAATTTTCACTATTTCTCTAAAAGACAACATTTTCTTATTTGCACAGATGCATGTGAACATTGAAATTTGAGGCTTTGCAAGGATTGAACTCGATTTTTGAAAATGCAGTCTCTAAAAATCTCTGAAAATCACCAAAAATCTGAAAATCTCTGAAAATCTCCGAAAATCGATCTCCCAAATGCAGCGTACTTGGCTGAAAATCTCAATCGTTGCATCGGTGACAATGTTGGCGATTTGCAGTGAGTTAAGCTTTTCTTTCGTTTAAAAAATGGAATTTAGTGCGCTAGAAAGGATGCGTTTACAAGTTTAAAAGAAAATACATTTTCTAGACTCGTTCCTTATAATTAACGCGAATCGACAATACGCAAAGATATTGGAAATTCTCAGTCAAAAGGTTGTCATCGGAGAAAACGGGGAAATACTTAATCGTATGTTTTAAAGCTTTAAAGCGTTTTAAAGCGTTTTAAAGCGTTTTAAAGCTCTCTCATTCTCAACAAATTTCTTTAGTTTCGAAAATTCCCAGAAATTTGCAAGGACCACCAGAGAAGAAAAGATTTGACAAATGTCATATTGGACGTGGGTTTTTCAGAAAGATTCTTAAAAAGCTCAAAGCTTATTATATTATAGACCATCTAAGTTGATCAATCATTCCAGGTAGGTAGTTCAACTTTGACACAAATTTTCTTGATGTTCTTTTACCTGAGCATACAAAGCACATTTTACTTTTCTATAACCAAATTTAATGAAGATTCTAACGAAACCAACCATAAGTTAATTCAGCGTCTATACCTCGAGTTATAGACCATCTAAGTTGATCGACTTTTTCGGGTAGGTTGAAATGTTGAATCGATTAGATAATGGGCACTGTGCCAGGAGATATGCTTAAGCTTTACCTTGAGTAAAATCAGAACGAGAGGCTCTAGATCTAACGGCTCTAGATCTAACGGCTCTAGATCTAACGGCTCTAGATTTAACGGCTCTAGATCTAACGGCTCTAGATCTAACGGCTCTAGATCTAACGGCTCTAGATCTAACGGCTCTAGATCTAACGGCTCTAGATCTAACGGCTCTAGATCTAACGGCTCTCTCTTGTAGGTAATCTATTTATTTGCATTTTCACTCTATCTTGTTTCTTCGTACCTTTCTTTTGTCTCTACATTTATGACATTTATAACTTCTCTATGATTTATTTGGTCTATATTTCACTTTATCATCATTCATTCCCGTTTCCTAATTGATTTCTTTGATGAAACATTGATTTCTTCTTACATTAAACATTTAACAAGTATAACTTTAACTAAAACATAAAATGCAATCCGTAGTCCAGTCCGTAGTCCAGTCCGTAGTCCAGTCCGTAGTCCAGTTCGTAGTCCAGTTCGTAGTCCAGTCCGTAGACCAGTCCGTAGTCCAGTCCATAGTCCAGTCCGTAGACCAGTCCGTAGTCCAGTCCATAGTCCAGTCCGTAGTCCAGTCTATAGTCCAGTCCGTAGTCCAGTCCGTAGACGATGCTGATCTCAAGCTTACCTAATCCCAAGCTTTGGTTTGATTCTAGATCAAGACTAACTCTAAAATAAGAAGTCTAATCCTGGTTGGCTTAGGCTAAAAATTCGATTTTCATTTATTTCACTTCAATTTTCCTTGAAGTATTGCTACAATAATTGAATTTTTTCAAAATTTAACTTTAGAACAGAGTCCAGAAAGTATAAAGCACAAAGATTAAGTTTAAATTGTTATTTTTTTTGTCTAAGCTATAGTCAATGCTATTCTTTTAAGCTGTCAATGCTAAAGAGGTGAATGCTATTCTTTTCCAGCAGCATCTCGTTTACTCGGCAAAGAATGTCAACCAAATGCGGTGATTTTCGGCAGCGAGTGCTACGATGAAGCTTGTATAAAGGTTAGAACTTCTCTAGCAAGTTGAATTGTAATTTTTCAATTTCAGGCCGAAGAAGAGCTCAAAGAAAAGCGATGGTTGAGCTTTCTTTTCTAGAAAATAAACGATTTCATTTTTTTCACAAAAAGCACGAAAAATTTCGTTTTTCACCTCTTTCACTGTTCATTTGATCTTTAGAAAATAGTCTTTTGACTTTTCTTTCTTTGGAAATGAGAGAAAATGAAAATTTTTCATCATCAAGCGCTCTGTTTTCCGATTTTTTATGTCATTTCAGGGGTGGGACAAATGCTACCTTTTTTTTGCGCACCTGGACATTTGGGCACCTTTTTTTTTGCTGGAAAAGGCCTTAGGAAAGGTCGTAGAGCTTCGAAAATATTCCAATATAAGGGAATCGTACGCGTAGATTCAGAATTTCGACAAATCAGACCTCGCTGATACGTCAAATTTGGGCTAAAAGGCAAAAACTGCGGAAAAGCGTTAAGTTGCGTAGTTTTTGCCTTTTAGCCCAAATTTGACGTGTCAGCGAGGTCTGATTTGTCGAAATTCTAAATCTACGCATACGATTCCCTTATATTGGAACATTTTCGAAGCTCTACGACCTTTCCTAAGGCCTTTTCCAGCAAAAAAAAGGTGCCCAAATGTCCAGGTGCGCAAAAAAAAGGTCGCATTTGTCCCACCCCCTCATTTCATCAAAATGATTCATTTCTTTTCATTCTTAAACAGTGAGAAAACTTTAGAATAACGTTTTAACATTGAAAAAGTGATTTCAAATTGATTTGATTGATTTGATTGATTTCATTGATTTCATTGATTTCATTGATTTCAAACAAAATCTCTCTCCAAATTTCAAACCAAATTCGGTATTTGTAATTTAGAGAAATGTTGTTTTGCTCAAAGTGCTCAAAAACTATTGTAAACATTTTAATTTGGCTATTTTTAGTAACTGGTTGTTTTAAAAGAAAAAAACTACTTTAAAACGTAAACAAATTACCTCAAAAGATTGGAAAAGATTGGGAAAGTTTTTGGAAAAGTTTTTGCAAAAAATCTAGTGACATAGAAAATGACCTTGAGTCAGTTGTAGTCGCAAAAAAAATTAATTTTTTCGTTTCTTTGTACGGAAACCTAGACTGAAACCATATTTTTTGGAATCAGCATTAAAAATTACCCTAGAAAACGGAAAACTCGTTCTTTTAGCAAAATTATTTCACAAAATCTGCCGCGCGCCGGAGTCGAACCCTCGACCCTCAGAGCTTACTTACTTACTTACTTACTTAGCTACTTACTTACTTACACACTTACCTACTTACTTACTTACTTACTTACTTACCTAAATACTTACTTACTTACTCACTTACCTACCTACTTACTTACTTACTCACTTACCTACCTACTTACTTACTTACTCACTTACCTACCTACTTACTTACTTACTCACTTACCTACTTACTTACTTACTTACTCACTTACCTACCTACTTACTTACTTACTAAATACAATAACTCTCGTTTCCGCGCTCATCGCTATAGCTTTTCGCTAATCGCTATCGCTAAATCTCAGTCCTATCGCAGAGCTTTCTAACTTTTTAAAGAATAGTCGAGCTGAGCAAACTGCAAGCAATCGATTCTAACAAACCATTCCATCAAATGATCACCAAATGATCAAATCAAATGATCACCAAAAACCAAATGATGTAACATTTTAGCCAAAAAGGTTCTTCTTTTGCAGTTAGACAAGGTTAATCGCATTAGTCCACAATCGAAATCGCAAATTTATCTCTAATTTTAGCTTAATTTCTTTAAATGACACGACACCGAAGAAGAAAAAAAGACGAAAAAAGAAAAAAGAAAAAGAGGAAAGAAGTCAACGGATGAAAAGATCCAGAAAACACGTTGATGTTGATGTCATGCTGGATCAGTCATCAAAAAAAAAGAGAGAAAAAGTGATGTAGAGATTTTTGGCACAATTCGCATAAAAATGGGCGGAGTTTTTCATTTCGATGACAAAATCAGCCATCAACTTTAAAAAAATGGTATATAAAGTTCACTAATTCACTAAATTAACCATCAACATCCAAAACGGAAATGCAAATTTTGATTCTATTCCTGTTGGCTGTAAGCGTTGCTGCATCGTCGTTGATCTCATCGTCTGTTTTAATCTATATTGTATCAAAAAGTATCAAAAAAATTGACTTAACAACCTATTGAAGATATTCAGCCAATAAGAGGGCTTTTTTGAGAGCGCAGCTTATAACTATAAAACAATTAAGGGGTTTACGCTAAATTTTTTTCCGCAACTCATCATAACTTTCTTCGAAGTGGTCCAATCTTTATGATTTTGGTGTCATTTTGTAGATCTCAATAAGTGCAATAAAATGACACCAAAATCACAAAGATTGGCCCACTTAGAAGAAAGTTATGGCAAATTGCGCAAAAAATTTGGCGTAAATCACCGCCAACAATTATCATCAAAATTTGCATATTCAAATTGTAGATCGGAGTTTAAACGGCCAAAACGAAGAATCGAGAGCTACAGCGGGATCGAGGCAAATCTCGTAGAGCAAGTGGCCGCGCTCAGCCAATGGGGACGCAAGAGAAGGGATATCGGGTAAATTGCGTCACTTTCAAAGTTTACAAAAAAAAAGCAAATAAAAAGTTGGGTTTAATTTTAAAGTGCCTAAAAATTTCAGCGAATTCTTCCGTTCAAAGCGACAAGCTCCATCACTTTACTACTACGGGTTGGGTGGTAATGTGATCGGCGCTTACACACCTTTCGGTCTCGCTTTCAACCCACTCCGAGTCGCCCCACTCACCAATTGGGGAAGAAAATAATTTACCATAATTTACCACCTTTATCCTCCTTTGATCTCCGTGAAGAAAAGCAGAGCTTTCATTCTCTCATCCACCAACTTTGATGCCTTGTTGTATATAGTTGCATATTTTCAATCAAAGCAATAAATATTAAATCGTAATCGTCAGTTTTTCCAATCAAAACATAGTCCTTTCTAGTGAAACAAATATCGAGATCACAACTCACAAAATGGGCTATGCAGAAAGTTGTAAGACACGTCACACAATAGAAAAGTGAAAATAATAATTCAAGTAGGTAGGTGAAATTGAAAATATACAATCAATCGTGAAAAGAAACGCATACAATATAAAGTCAAATAATAAATTAACGAATTGAAAATGAGATCAAATTAATCATCAAGTTTGAAGCTTCGGTCTTTTCGACAAAGGTGACCGTGGCTCCTGAAATTTGAATAGATTACCGTAATTATTCAAATAGAAGACCCCCTGTCGACCCCTCGAAATCGGGACTTTTCCGAGATTCTTTTCAGGTAGAATGGGAGATTTGGGTCCAGATAGAAGTATTTTAGTCTTGGCAGTAAAATTGGAAACGTAGTTTTCAAAAAATTAAAAGATAATTTTAAAAACAAAATCCACAGGGATTTTTTCGGGGAGGAGGGGGGCCAGGCCAGAAAATAATTTCACTTTTACACATGTTTTTGGCATGTTTTGAACCAAGATTTATCATTTAGAATAATTTTAACATTTTTAAAATTTGGATTCATCTGGGGTACCCTTACCTACTTTTTTTGGCCGACCGATTTTGGGGGTTTGAAAAATAGAAGATCCGGGTCTTCAATTGGAATATTTACGGTAGGTTAATCAAAATTAGGCTCACCTTTGCTGCCGGATTGGGGTTGTTGTCGAAGTCGAGCCTCACATTTGTGAGATGGCAAATCGCTTTCTAAAAACTTTGGGTTTAGTTTTACATTAATTTTCCGTACCTGAAGTGGTTCAACCTTTGCCATCACAGCGGCTGGCTCAACAACAATGTTCCGTGAGCAGTCACGTACCTGTAAATAACGTAAAACGGAATGCAACCCAACTCTCCTACCTTGCAAACGCCAACCAAACGATCACTCTTCTCAAACATGTTCGATCGAAGGGAAATGATGATAAACTGGGCATTCTTGGTTTGTTCCTAAATTTGACATTAGTTTTTGCGAATACGGAACGCGCTACTTTCACATAGTGCCCAATGATAGAGACGTTTCTGAAGTCAAGAGCGGCATCGATCTCATCCATTACGTAGAGAGGAGTAGGTCTAAATCATCAAGTACAACTTTCTATCGAGAAATCCAACCTGAATTTGTGAAGAGCAAACACGAGAGCCAGTGATGACAGCGTTTTTTCTCCACCAGACAGATTCTGGATCCTTTTCCATGATTTCTTAGGAGGCCTCACCCTATAAAACAGCATAACAGTTGAAAAAGTTCAAGACTTACAAATATTGAACTCCATGCTCGAATGGTCTAATCACATCCTTTACTTCAATTTGAGCATTTCCTCCAATTGTCAGCATTTGATACATCTGCTTCACGTACTCCTTGATCTTTTGGAAGCTCTATAAATACAGATTTGACTGCTCCAAAGAAAAAAGTACCTTTGTGAACTCAGTGAGTCGATCGGCCGTCAATTCAACAAACTTGGTTTCGTGACGGTTGCGTAGCGCACGAATCGCATCCAGTCTCTGGAGTTCCTCCTCATAACGAATCACCTAAATCTCTTCCATCAATCAACTACATTACCAATAAAACAAACCTTTTCTTTGTATTCATCAACCATTCGAAGATTTAGCTTTGATTTGCCTCCATGTGCCTTTTGCTCGACGGTCTTCAGTTTGAAATTGAGTTCTTCCTCGTTGAATTCATCAATCTAAAATCCGTTTTTACAAAAACAAGAATTAACAATAGACCTCTTCTTCAGTGTACTCGGGAAGCTTTCCAGTCATTAGGGGAGAATTGCTTTCCTCGTTGAAGCGGGTGCGTATTTCAGCTTCTCTTGCTTCCAGTTCATCGAACAATTCTGATCGTTGTTTTTCGCAGGCCTTTTGCACTTGACGTCGTCGCTCATCTTTTAGCCCTTCAAGTTCTGCAACACGAAGAAGATACTCCTCTTCAGTCTAAACTAAAAATAATTCAACACCAACAATAAAGTGACCTCTCCAGGCAATTCGGGCACACGAGCACCTCCTTCCTTTTGAACAATCCTTTCATCATCGTCAATGTCGTACAACTAAATGGACAAATGGTTCTTTTTGCTTTACAAAGCTATCTTACAAGTCTTCTTTTGGCTTCGGCTTCCTCTTCACCAACATCCATCTTGGAACGATCGATAGACAAAGAAGTGATATCATGAGTCGGAAGTTTCCCACGCTATAAATTGATCATCAGGGAATTCATATCATGCAACTGACCTGTTCATCTCGTTGCCTGATCTGCTTCTTGAAGTGACTCATTCTTTCTTTGACTTGGGTGATAGCGGCAGTAACTTCTTTCATCTTCTTCTCTAGTTCATTCTAAATATCACATACTTCAATAAATCATTTTCCCAAAGCTAACCTCTTCTTTATCAAGTTCTTGATTGCCAACTCGAATCTCTTTCAAAGTGGCATCAATCTCTTTCAAGCGGGCCTAAAATAAAACTAACTACTAGTTTATTAAAAATCATGAAAAACCTCCATCTTTGCCTTATTCTCTTTCAACTCAGCAAGTTCTTCCGAGGTGTCCGACGTTTCTTTTTCTTTGCCCTCGAGCTGTTCACAAAGACCTTCAAGATCACCTTCAATCTCCTTCTTGCGTGTGAGCGCCTAAACATAAAAAGATCCAAAGCTACCTTTTACCAAACCTTCTTCATGTTATGATCAGCAGTGTTGATAGCAGCTTGTTCTTTTGTGAGCGTCTTCTCAGCAGCTTGGCGTTTCTTCTTTGCTTCAGAGATTTCATCTTCGAAGAGCTAAAAAAGCAAGAACTTTAACCAAACAAAGGTTTTACTGTGAGAAGTTCTCGTCTAACAACTTGCAGTCGTTCATCGACTTTGGCGACTCTAGCCTTTGCTTCGTCGGCAAACTTTTGTGCTTCTTTGTGCTCTAAATTTTTGGTTAAAATGTTTCCAAAGCAAAAAAAATCAATACCCTCTGTGAATTTGAGTATGCGGTCCTCAGTTTCTGCAACTTTCTTCGTGTCGATGGAAGCTTTCTGGTCATTCATTTGACGCTCAAAGCTTTTCAAATTCTTTTTTTGCATCTCCAAAGAAGTTTCATAATTCTAAAATTAAGTTTAAATCAGGATATTAAAGATATCAAAAACAATTACTAATTACTAACCCGGATCTCACTCTTGAGCTTTCTGATCACGTCTTGCAGCTTTTTGCCACGGTCGATCAAATTTTGAACCTCTGTTTCTTCCAAACGAATTTGATCTTTAACCTATAATGAAAGATTAAACATAAGTCTAAAGAGGTAAGTAAACCAATTGATATCGTTGCTCTAAGCTGTGTAACTCGTCTCTCCACTCGGTAAGCATTTTTTCGCTGTCTCGAGACGTGTCAACTTTCACATTTTTGCCAAGCTTTCCCCTAAAAGCCATGACAATATGAATATCACATTAATCTCATACTTCATTGGCTGACCACCTCCTGACATCGTTCCAGATGGTTCGAAGAGGGCACCTTGCAGCGAGACAACACGATGGCGCTGGCGTCCAAATGCAACTCTAAATAAGGGGTACTTCATGGAAACACCGAATCATATCTACCGTTGAGCTTGTTCGCTGTCATTCGCAACAAGTGTATCTCTTACAGCCCAATAAAATGCAACACGAATTCGGTCATCTGAGATTTTGAGAAGATCAAACACGCGGGGCAGATTTTCAGGACTAAAATTGATTTTGCATTGAGATTTCAGAAATGTTTACGTCTGGCGCATATTGTTCATCATTCCATGAAGGTTTTGAATTTTTTCCAAGATGATAACATTGATTACTCCGAGGTTCTCCTAAACAAGCATTTAAGCAAAAAAAGTACAATGATATATAAAATTTTAAGACCTACCCTACGACAAAGTTCAAAGCACTTTTGTGACGATTCAACATCTTCGACTAGAATCGAATCGAACGCACCAGAAGAAGTCGAGGCAGCAATATCATATTTCTCGTCTATTCCTCCGAGATCACCCTAGAAAATCTTTAGTATAAAGTAGAAGTACAATACTTACCAGACGTCCAATGATTCCTGGAATTTTGCCACTACGTTTTGCCGCCATCAAACTCTAAAATGTCAATTTGCAAGACGCTTTAATCGAACGCTTACTTGTTGCAGCTTTGATCCACCAGCCACCTCATTCACTTTACGTTGTTCGTCCATGATTTTCCCACGAAGGTCACTCAGCTGTAAAAATCAAAGTTTAGCAAAATCCTATAATTAAAACCTGGCGAGCCATGTTTTCCTCTTGCTTTCTGAGCTCAGCAGCTCGTTCCCGTTTCTCCTTCAAATCTCTTTCAATATCAGGAAACTCTACGTCGGCAGCGGTCAATTCACTGAAGAAAAAAAATACAAAAGCTTATATAAGCTCATAGAAGAATCACCCTTTCTTTTCATCCAACTTTCTCTCCAATTCATCATATTGAGCGCGAGCACTTTCAAACTGAAAAAACCAGACATTATTTGTTTTCGCAAAAGAATTCTTAACCTGCTTTGTACTTTTTGCCGCACGTTCTGTCATTCCTTTCAGCTCGACCTGGAGTTGTTCAACCTCTCCGCGCAAGTCCAACGCTTTTTGATTTGCTTCTCCAAAAGCTTCTTCGAGCTTTCCTTTTTCCTCCCTATCATCGACCGTCCGCTCCGCGTATTCTTTCTGATTCTCGTCGAGTCTTTCTTGGGCACTTTTCTCCTAAAACAAATTTAGGTAAATTCTATGGCTCCTGCGAACCTGCTCATGCATTTCTTTGATAATTTCGCGCTGTTGCTCAATCTTCTTTCCCGACTTTTCTGGAATGCCCTCAATCTCTTCGATTCGTTTGTTCTCCTTGTCCAACAACTCTTTCGTCTTTTGTACATCCGATCGAAGTCGCTTGATGTCGTTCTTGCGTTTCAAGTCACGCTAAAGTGAATTGTTTTTGTGGAAAACGGAAATCTTACCTGATCCAGGTTATTGATGTCCGTGGCCAATTGATCAGAAGTCGCTTGCAGCTTGGTATGCTCTCTTAAAAAGTCGACTTTTAACATCGGATTACTTTGAAACCAACTTTTCCAAGTCCTTCGTTTGCTCCTTCTTTTCTTTTTGTTGTTCGGTAACCCGCTTGCGTTCTGCTTCAACGTCGTCGCGCGCATTTTTCACGTCAACAAAATCTTCTTCTTCGAGTTTCTTCAGTTCTCGAGTGCACGCAAGACGATGTTTAAGAGCCAGTTGATCGGTGTAGAGAGCAATCTTGTTCTCAAGTTTCATGATTTCGATCATCTCCTTCACGGGTCCTTCCAATCTTTCCTTTTCTTTCGTGGCCAGACTCAATCTAAACAAAAACTTATTTGTATTTAAGGGTAACAAACTCACTGTCGAGATTGTGAAGTCAGTTTCTCATTGATTTGCTCGATTTTTTTCTCAAGTAATTGAAGAGGGCCTTTGAAGCGCGATGTGCTAAAAAACGTATGAATCAAAATTCACGATTAACACATACCCAATGATATCTTCAAGATATTCTAACATTCCTTCGTTGCCTTTCTCATCAGCTTTCGGCTTCATCATCGCAATTTGTTCAACTTCGCCTTGTAAGATCAAAAATCGATTGTGCTTTAGATCGATCCCGACTTCTTTTAACTTGTCAGCGACTTCTTTAAAGGTTACAGTCTAAAAACTTGTATGAAGTACTAAAAGCCAAAATTGTACCTTTCGATGACCATCGTGTGAAGTGATGAAGTACTTGCTAGAGTTATCCCGAAAAGCTGTTCGTGAAATGGCAAATTGGCTTTGTGGGACTAACGCGTACTTGTCCTTTGACTAAATCAAATCATTAATTTGTTTGACAAGCTACAACTCAACCTCTTCAACGATCTTTTGGAAATGAACTTCAACTGTGCAGCTTTGAAGATTGTCGTGTCCAGCCGAATTGTGAATAAGCACCGAGAGCTTTTTAGAACGAATCTTAAAAAAATTCAAATGCCTATTTTAAACTTGGCTGCTTACCTTGGAGGCTTTAAACCCAAAAACAAAAAGCAACGAATCGATGACATTGCTTTTGCCACTTCCATTTGGCCCGATGATAGCAGTGTAATTCTAAAATTGTCCTTTATGTTTCCTCAAACAAAAAGTAAACCGTATGAAAAGGTCCAATTGTATGTCGTCCGTAATAAGATTTGAAGTTTTCGGTAACAATTTCCTTGATCATCAATCGTGAACCAGATCCGTCGGCCGACATGCATGGTTCGGCTAAGGGTGGAACTTGCAAATTAAGAAGCTCCTCTTCATTGAGATTCGCCCAATCCTAAGATACTAAAGAGTCAACAAAAAGATGCGATTAATACCATTTCTTCTTCATCGTCCGATAAATCGTTGGCCTTTCCGGTTCCTTCCAATAATGGATCTGCTGTAAGCGCCGATGCTTCACTCTAAAATTCCATATGTAAAATAAAAGGGTTAAAATTTACTCGGCGCTTCTTTGGAGAATTTCGAACGGAGACTTCTCTTTTTTCTCTTGCTTTGGCTCCTCCGGTGGTTTTCTTGTCTTTTCCTCGTCGTGGAGCCTAAATTTTAGTTAAACCAGCCAAAAGTGTCTTAACTAACCAAATCCTCGTCTTCCTCTTCTTCTGATGAAGAAAATCCTCGCCGCTTTGGTGGCATATTTCTGAATCAATTTAGAATTCGACTTTCGCGTTCGAAAAACAAAAGTTAAGTGAAAAAGCTTTTCAAACACTCAAATTCTCAGCTATTCCCGCGTAAGCCAAAGAGGAATAAAAGAAACAAGAGAAGCAAAAGAGACGCCAGGAAAAAGATTTTCATTACGGTACCAAATTCGCTATCCAGCAAATAACAAAGTCCCCCTACAAAACGGTAAAAAAACGGTTTTGAAGGGGCAAAACTATCATATTCAAAAGTAAAATTTTTTTTTATTCTAATGCCAAACAAATCCAAATTTTTGAAGAAAAATGGGGCGCGATTTTTGGATTTTCTTCAAAGATTTGTATTTTTAAAAAATTTGTACACCAAAATTAGAAAACAGCTTTAAATTTGCACATTTACACATTCAAAACACAAAAATTGCATTTTTGAAGAGCTAAATGCAAAAAGCGCGCTCAAAAGATGCAAATTTTTTGTTTTTGTTAAAGTAGGTAAAGTAAAGTATGTTAAAGTATGTAAAATTTTTGCCCCTTCAAAAAAATTTTCTAGCTACGAGCCTGATTAATTTGATTTGATTTTTAATTTGTTAATAGTATTGTTAATGGCTTTACAGGGTGCGGCATCTATAGTGTTGCGCTTAATGCTTCTTTTTGGTTTTCTAAGACAATAGACAAGCTGAAAAACAACAATTAATCAAAAAAATCTACGCGTCATTTTACTTTTAATTTTAGAATAGAAGAGCTGTAACATTTTGAATGACTTTTTTTTGCTGGAAAAGGCCTTAGGAAAGGCCGTAGAGCTTCAAAAATATTCCAATATAAGGGAATCGTATGCGTAGATTCCGAATTTCGACAAATCAGACCTCGCTGACACGTCAAATTTGGGCTAAAAGGCAAAAACTACGCAACTTAACGCTTTTCCGCAGTTTTTGCCTTTTAGCCCAAATTTGACGTGTCAGCGAGGTCTGATTTATCGAAATTCGGAATCTACGCATACGATTCCCTTACATGGAAATATTTTTGAAGCTCTACGACCTTTCCTAAGGCCTTTTCCAGCAAAAAAAAGGTGCGCAAATGTCCAGGTGCGCAAAAAAAAGGTCGCATTTGTCCCACCCCCTAATTTTTACATAAACTCATCAATCTAATGATAAAATGTTCGTAGATTTTAAATTAAAAGAAGAACTTTAAAAGAAAAAATGCCTAAGCCTAAGCCTAAACAAAAAAACTGTCAACTCTTGGTTTTTGAGAAAATCAGCTTTTTGTAGAGCGTAACACTCTGTATATTCCGTGCGTTTTTTTTTTGTTTTGATGTAGATAACACTGGTCCTTTAGGCTATTGCTTCAAAGCTTAGAAATTGCTTCAAAAACTAGTGAATCATTATTGATCATTCATTGACTTTTTGTGCATTTTCATCAACAAAAAAATTTTTGCCACTTTGAAAATTTATTAGATTTTTAGGTGGTTTCCTTAAAGAAATGTGCATAAAGAGTTATACAGTAAAAGAAAAAAAGTAAAATCTAATCACAAGTTGTTTGGGGAGGGGAAAGTTCAGCACACGGACACTCAAAAGTAACAACAAAAAACAACAATAAAACAAAATTGCGCTTATTCCTAGACACTTAAGTAATGAAACATTTCAAAATGATACAAAATGAGGTCATTGTGAAAGTAAATATAAATTATCTCTTTAACTCAAGAAAAATCACACAAAAATACTTACATACCTGTTTTTTTTTGGGTTACAATTTATTCAAAAGTTTTTTTTTGTTGTCACACAAACCGACATTTTCAAAAGGAAACATCAAAAAATTCAAAATTCACAAAAACATTGAAATTTTTTGGGTTTTTCAAAAGTTTTTTGTTTTTTGGGGTTTATGCAAGGCGAAGAGAGTCAATTTTTTTTTGAGTTTCTCAATAGGAAAATTTTTAAATTGACTCCCCATAAAGAAGAATGACAACAAGAAAATTAATGCACATAAGATGATCGAAAAATATACAGAAATCGGCATCACTGGGACCCTATAGATTTACAACTATTTTTGGTGATTTTTGTCTTCCAATGTTAGCTGGGGCTTTTGTCCTTTGTGCTCACGTCTAAAAGCAAGCCTTCTGGTGTATTCAAAATTATCTAAAGCTATCTAAAGCTATCGTTTTTTCAACTTAAATTCAAAAATCACCAAACTACACAAAGAGATTCTATTCGATGACAAAGAGAAAAACGCACAGACGGACTCATCCTAATGAGGGTAAGTGAAAAGTTGAGTGGCTTTTTTGGGGAAATTATTGGAAATCAATTTATCCACTCCACATCACTCCTTGCATGATCGTTTTCAGCTCTTCGAATTCTTTTTCGAGCTTCGACAACCGGTTGATGAGTGCTGCCTTGTCGCGACGGAGTTGCTCGTTCTCAACCTCCTGAAAATTGCTTGATTTTGTCTAGAACATTTATGATTTTTCGAGACTTCTATATCTTCAATGCCGAGACGTCTTTTTTTCAACCAATCAAAGTATTGTTACCGTACCTTTGCGATGATGATCTTGCGATCATAGGGATTCCCACTCGGCTTCGACGTTTGTTGTTTGAGCTTTTGCTTCAACTCATTGTTCTCTTGCCTGAAAATTTGGATTGATTCAGAATTCGATTTAGAATTCGATTTAGTTTGGATTTTAATTTTCCTTTATAAAATTGGATTTTGATTTAAATGTGAAAATTTTCCTTACGTCAACAAATCAATCGTGTTATCCTTGTCGGCGAGTTCACTCTCGCACATAGCCAAGCGCTCGGTTTTGAAGTTCTCCTCTTCTTGCTTCCGCATTCGCCAGTTCTTTGCGAGTTGCGCGCGTTTCGTGTCAGCCACCTAAAATTTTGCAGTTTGGTGAAAGGCTTAGGTTTTCGATTGTGGAACATTTGATACTCGCCCGGCCACTTTGCCATTGGCAATCCAATTTTAAACTCAAATTTCTTAGTGTTGTGCTATTGGATTTAAATAGTTTTTCTACCAATCGACAGAGAAAGACTTGGCCCATCTAATGATACCAAGAATGAGATGCTTAGATGCATTATCTCATTTTCTATTGTAGTTTTATCAACTTTTAAAACTATAGTCATTTTCGTACCTGTTTTGGCGGACGTCCACGCGGTTTTGGCATCAAATCGTGCGCACTTTCTCTCATATATGGAGTCTAAAACTGAATTATGACTGTAAAAGATGAATTACCCAACCTCAGCTTTCCTCAGGACTTTCATCGGCACATCTTCTTCGAGCAAAACATATTCAGCCTTGACACGCATCGATTTTTGATCGAATGGATGGTCGGGGCAATCGGCAGTGACATCAATTGGCGACTCGGGCATCAGTGAACCGATCGATGGACTGCTGGAAAGGTTTTTTTTGAGCAATTAAGGTTTATTAAGGTTACAGTCGATAAAATTCTCTTACAGAACTAGTTTATTTGACATTTTTGATTAACAAATATTGATTAAGCCTATAAACAATGGCTTTTTTTATGTAAAAGGAAACTTTCTAAGTTAAGAAAAATTCCAATACGGTTCCAATCCTTGACAAACTCTTCTTTTTCACGAAACATTTAGATGAATTGGAGCAAGGTGTGGGTGAGTGGAAAATTTGGAATTTCCAATACGGTTCCAATACGGTTCTTTTTTTGATCTAATACGGTTCCAATACGCTTACAAGGGTTACTTTATGCTATTAAAAATTTAAAAACTATCAACAACATAAAACTGCATTATCAAGTGCACCAGAAAAGAGGCGATTGCAAAAAGTAGATTTTTATCCAACTTACCCCCTCATATTGGCCATCTCTCTTGCGTAGAGGTTCTCGTTATCGAAATTGTCCTCATCGTTCCCGAAACTCTCCGGATTCAGCTCAATGTCGAAGTCGAGATCGCACATTGTTTGAATTCCACCTAAAATTCGCATTTGATTATGACTATTTTCAAGTTTTGATAAGAAAATGAGAATTCATTGTTTTATTTGAGGTTTTTTCAGGCTCCTGGAGGTACTAGGTAATTTTGAAGAAAACTGAGCCTAACAATGTTTGTAAACAATGTGCTATATGTAAAATAATTGTCAATGTACACTTTAAAGTTCATAAAAAGTATTTAAAAATATTTTGTAAAAGAAAGCAAAAAGTTTTTCGCAAACCGGATCCGAACCCGGGATGAGGGAGACCTAACGAGACTAAGAGCGTCCACGTTTACCAATACACTACCCAGTCATGCTTGGTGGAAAGGAAAAGAGCCGTTATCAACCGGAGATTCGGTCAGTATGTACCCAAATTTGCAACGCGTTTTTCTCGAAAACCAGGGGAGTTAGAGAAAAACTAAATACAGGATCGGATTCTCCATGCCTGAAATACCTTTTCTATCACTATGTCGATCTAATCCTTTCCTTGTAAGTGTTACTATTATAAGGTTAAGGCTATTATCACCTTACTTACAGGCCATTATCATCTCCTTTACAATGTCTTTTATCATTACCAAGTACTAGATTGCTTTTGAGTACTCATTCTCTCTATAATCTTGTCATATAAAGTCATATAAAGTCATATAAAGTCATATAAAGTCAAGAATCCATATAATTTGATTGCTTTTCTAACTGCTAACAGGAGACCTGGTTGGAAATTTGTCTGACAACCTTGTAAGTAAGCATCTACCCAGATACTAATACCGTACCATACTAATACCAATCTTCAGAGTACCCAAAGAGGCCAGTGATTTAATTCTAATTAAGTGATTCTAATTAACTTAACAATAAGTGCTTAAGCTAGAGCCTGACCAAATCCAGACTTGTTAGGTGGCAATGATGCTACAATGTTGAAGCTTGAACCCTATCCTAGATCTTGAGCCTTATCCTAGAACTTGTACCCTATCCTAAGCCTTGCACCCTATCCTAGGCCTTGCACCCTAGCCTAAGCCCTGCACCCTATCCTAGGCCTTGGATCCTAGCCTAAGCCTTGCACCCTATCCAGCCATATAAACCCCAATTCAACTTCAAGAACCATCAGATCTGTGAAAAAATAACAAAATGAAGTCCAGGCGAAAAAGCTGTCGAATAAATACGAAGGAAGCCACGCCCACTTCTCTAACCTCTTATATTCAAGACACAAATTTCCGGAAAAGCTTGTTTAAGAGAAATTTTTAAACAAGTTTTGGACAACTTCTTTGAATAAAGAAAGAAATGAATACTTGAAAGAAATTATTCTAGAAATAAACTACTCTAGAAATGAATACTGAAAGAAATGAAGCTATTCTTGGCCTATATATACCTTTCAAAGCATATAACCAGTGAGAAACGATGAAAATGGATTGGTTATATGCAAAAATCAATGAAATTTCGCTTAGATTTTGAGTAAAGCTTTATTGAAGTCTGGAAATGGATAGAAATTGATAAAGAGTTGAAAACTCATAGGAAGCTTGACTGAAAGTGAAAGTAAGCTGAGTGCCGCGACTTGGAAAGTAGTTAAGCTTGATTTAAGCTTCTAAAAGCTATTCAAAGCTCACTGTGCCTTACTGTTTACTTAAAAATGAGGATTTAAATGCACTAGAAGCTGTGCATTTACAGATTTTAGCACAAAGTACAAGAGAGATTCAATTCTCACTAACCACACTCTCTGATGATGCGCTCTTCCGTATTCGGCGAAAAAGCTCCAGAATTTGGTGTTGATTGAATTTGGTGCTGATTGGCCAACATGAAATCTTTTCCGAAAGTCGCCATGAGCTATTTTATGTAGGATTCCGGCTCTGGTTCGGTCCAAAAACGTTTAGATTCAACGCCAAGATGTCGACGAATCGTGAGGAGTGTCCTCTCGAAACTGTCTGGAATCAAAAAAGAATTCAAGGATTGAATTAAGATTTAGAGTGAAAACAAGCGAAATATCAAAGAAATTGTTAGTTTTTCCCTTCACAAGACTTGCAAAAAGCTTTTGTTTGTGGATTGGCAATTCATCTTTGCGGTAAACGCGACGCGACAATCGGGGTGAGTCAGTAAAGAAGTGAGACTTTCGAAAGTCCGAAAAATGGGTCTTTACGCGAATTCCTGAAGGGGAAAATGAGAGATTTGAGATTTAGAGAAGGGAAATTAATCGAGAACTGGAGAGGATTAGAGAAAAATGCGAATTTTGCACTTTTTTTTGCAGAAAAATGTCGCAAGGGATTAAAGAAAGATGTTGAAAGGAAAATGATGAGAAAATTGTCTAAATTACTGTCTAATTAGTCTAATTTATTGTGCTGGAACCAAAGATTAGCAGCAGAAAGTAGCTATAGAAAATAGCAATAGAAAGTAGCAATAGAAAATAGCAATAGAAAATAGCAATAGAAAATAGCAATAGAAAATAGCAATAGAAAGTAGAAGTAGAAAGTAGCCGTAGAAAACTTTATCGCGTAAAAGTTGTAAATCTCCTCTACAAAATAGGCTAAAACGTGTTTCAATTGGTCGAACCATTGAAGAAATTTCGAGGGCGAAATGCGAGTGACCAAAAAAGGAATCGAGTCACTTTAGAAAGTGCGCCGCGCCTCTTTCGCGCCAGTCCCTTTAAACCGCACTTAAATAGGATTATTACAGTTAGTTTTGGCCTTCATTATGGTCTGGTTACGAAAAGTTCCGGATTCTCCACTCGGCTCCCAAAGATTGCTCGGAAATAGATTCCTTTCTTATTTCAACACAAGATTTATCGCGTAAAACAATACTTTCAATTAAAAATTAAAAAGAATTAAAGAATAAAAAATTTCAATTAAACAATAATCTGACAAAAAAAATGATTTGAAAATGAAAAAGAAGCGACGACGCGGCGCTCCCATCGACTACCTCCAAATGTCGGCGACGTCAATTGGAATGCGACGTCGCGCGAAAATTAACTTCAAATTTGCGACATAAACAAATTAAACGTGAAAACGTCTCGAAAAACATTTTTTTCTTTCTAAAGGCTCTAAGTTCTAAAGGTTTCTCTACTTTTGTTCGTTTTAATGTTATTTTATAAACAATATTTGCTTTCTAATGCCTTCTAATGCCTTCTAATCATTTCTAATCATTTCTAATCATTTCTAATCCTTTCTAATCCTTTCTAAAAATGTTTCTAGTTTATTTAGCCGTGGTTTAATTATTGTTGTTTGTTTTGTTGTTGGTTTTTTGTTGGTTTTCTCCACTTTTTAACGTGTTGGCACAAGTCCATGCTTTTTTTAGCTATTTCACAATCTTACATCAGAGAAATTGCCGGGAATTGGCAGTGAGCCAAAATTTTGCGACAAATGTTGTCTAAACGACTACGGTTTTTCAAATAGACACTAGATACCGTAAACTAGCAGATACGAAACTCAGCGAGTCACGCCCATCAATCGATGCGTGGAAAACCTCGCATTTTCCCTAAAATTCTTACATTCTACCATTTTTTAAACCTTTACTCGTTTTGTTCTTGCTTTTTTAACGTTCTTATCCGAATTTTGTGGTGTTTCTCTTTGAAAAACTACAAAAATCGGTATGGAGCTTAATGCGAGACTCTTGTCTAATACATGGTTTTATTCACAGGACTACCAGGACGAGCTCGAATTTGTGGCGTTTGGTGGAAGGGACGAACTACAAGACGAACTACAAAACGAGCAAAGAAGCGATCCGTTTGTTGGCTGGCACGAGGATCTGGGTGAGCAATTTGGTCAACTACGAGATTCGTTCTTGAACTGGCAACTGGATTCGGGACACACTGAACAAGCCGAACCAAGCGGAGCTCAACTCCAACCTCAACTCCAACCTCAACTTCAACAGCTCCAAATTTTTCCCGAAGACTTGGAAGAGCTTCCGTTGACTCAAAGCTGTACTCCTAACAGCGAAAACTCTAGCAATAACTCTATCGATAACTCTAGAGAAAACTCTATCGATTCAATGATGGAAGAGAATTATTCAGACTGTTTCTTTTCCCAGTGCAAGGATCCATTTGAATCTTTATTGACTCCAAAAGACGAAGATTTCATCGAGATCGATGTTGAGCGGTCCTCACCGCCGTCAATTTATGAAGAAGATGTAAAGCCTATTGAAAAAGCTGATAGATATATTGAAAGACATTCAGCTGATAGATTGAAGCAATTGTTGAGAAAGCCACAGAAAATGATTGAGAAAAGTAGACGCGGTCGGCCACAGAACTCCCGTCCGATCTCGCAGAAAGCTCAAATCTCAAAGGATTGGCGGGAAAAGAAAAAGCTACAGGATCAACAATTGCAGGACAAAGTGTGCAAGTTGGAGGTGGAGAACGGACAATTATGCAAGCAGAACACGAAGATGAAGGACGAGATTCGAGAGCTGCGTAAAATGGTGGCCAAGCTGCAGAAAAGGACGGGATAATCGACTTTATGGTGCTGAATAGGAAACTATCGTTATTAAGTCTTTAGCTGAATATCTTTTAATGATTTAACTGAATATCTTTTAATGATTTAACTGAATATCGTTTCCTATTTGGCACTATTTTTTTAGCTACTTGCTTACTCGTTTTTTTAGGGCTAGAATGGAGGCTTGCTAGGTTTAAAAGCGTTTTTTGTTTTGATATTTTAATACAGTATTTTTAATACAACAGTATTTTTGTAGATTTTCATAGATTTTTGTAGAAATTTGTAGATTTTTTTGTATTTTTATAGAGTTTTTCGAAATTCAACCATTTTCGAAAATCATTTCGAAACTTTTCGATTCGAAAATCCCGCAGACAATTAAGTGATTGCTAAAAATAGATTTATCTTTAGCTTATCTAGTTATATTTTCTGAGTACTAGAGAACTTTTTAGTTTTAAGCCTGACTTTAGTTGACTCTGGACTGGCTTTGAACCCGAGCTTGGATCCCCATTTTCCGCGCAACCCCGAGCTGACTAAAAGCCTTGAACTAATGAAAAATTTATTATCTAGTTAAGAAATCAATTATCTATTTTAAAAATCGATCAATCTATTTTAAAAAACGATTATCTATTTTAAAAATCGATCAATCTATTTTAAAAATCGATTAATCTTATCTAATCCACTAGCGGAAAACGCTCACTAACGGGTTTCCACTGGGGATCCACTTTTCCACATTTTCCACATTTTCCGCGCAATCTAAGCCTCGCCCCTTTTTGCCAATGGCTGCGCACAGACCGATAGACATCTCTTCTGCTTTATATATGGTAGATTATCTAATCCATTAAGAGTCCGTCTGTTTGTCTGTGCGCAAACGCGACGTTCCAAATTCCGGGCTCGTAGTGTCAACGGCAAACAAGGGATTGGCCCTCGGGGGTTTTCGCCTACGGGGAATCCGATTTTGATGTTTATTTTTAAAAAGAGCTTAACTGGGTATATATATGGGCTTGAATTGTGTTCCCCAACGGTAAAGGCGAACGAGATTTCATTAGTATTTAGAGATTTTCTTCTGTATTGGCCCTAAAGCCTGGCTAGGCCCAGGATTGACATCTTTTTCTCTATTTTTCCCCAATCCCAAGCCTCCATTCTCCCTTGTTTCCATTTTTATCTTTTCTTTGATCTCTTTTACTTGATATCTTTGTATAGAACCTGTGAAAATCGTAAAAATGAATTTCTGATCTTTAATTTTCCGTGAATTTCCCCAAATTTCCCCTTTTTTCCGCTTTTTCCCCTTTTTCCCCAAATTGGGGCTCATACCGGTTAACTTTTTGTTATTTTGTTGATGTTTTCCTTTTTTTTAAAAAGCTTGCAAGATGGGACACGAATCAGAACATTTTGCAAGTCACGAGTTTAGTTGGAAGAGCTGATCTGATTGGGAAAATGTCCTTGAAAGACACATTTCCGAGGCACGACACGGTCATCTCGCTTGAAAGGTATTTTATTGTAATATAGAAATCTAGAAATCTAGAAATCTAGAAATCTACCTACTGTAATACTTATGTATAAAATACTTCTTTACTACCGTAATACCTGTAATAGTAGCCCCCTTCCCCCTCATAATGGGGTATTGCCGCGTAGTCTAACTTTACAAGCTCCGTTCTCCGCGCTGTTTTATGCTACAGTGTGCGCTTTTGTGTCAAATGATATCCCTTGAATTCTAGTATTTTTTGGTACTAAAAATGTATTTGTAGCTGATCTAGGAGCTGAGAAAAAAATGGTTTTCTAAGGAAGGCAGTCAGTCAGTCAGTCAGTCAGTCAACAGTCGCTTACGCCCGCCCGCCCTGCTACGTGTGCCTTGGCAAATAATAACCCTGATCTAGTTTGTCTAATGTGTTGTGCTGTCTAGGAGCTGGAATAAATGTTTCTAGTCGTCGTCAGTCGCGGCGCGTCAGTCAATCAATCAGTCAGTCAGAAAAGAAGTCAAACTACGCGACTGTACGCACGGGCGCTACTATTAGAGGTATTACGGTACTCATTCTACTTTTTTATGTACTTTTCGGTGTACTTGTTGAATAAAAAAATCAATATATATTTTTAGCTAAAAAATGCAAATTTTAAAGTATTTAGGTGAGCTGACTCGGCCAAGAAAACGTTCAAAAACGCCATTCAAATGCAAGAAAACGAGAAAATACCCTCGAAAACACAAAAAGTAGGCTTTTTTTCGAAAATTTAGACATTCTACAGACAGGTGATTTTGTTTTTTTTGCTAAAAACTCTAAAAAAATTCCCCAGCCGATTCATCGTGGCTATTTTAGAAAAGAGAGAGAGAGATTTGTGCAAAGAAGTGGATCGGAAAAAAGCTTCTCGAAAAATTCTTCGGATACAGTAAAAAAAAAGGAGAAAATCTCTTGAAACCAAAAAAAAATTAAGAAATTTCCATTTCAGCTAGAATGGGAAAAGTTTGCTGGGGCTTAGGCTGGGGTTGAGATGCTAAAAATTGACTTGGCTACCGTAAATCTTGTAGATCTTACCGTAATCTTGAATAGAGAAATTCCACCGTAACCCTAGGCTATTGAGACTACCGTAATCTTTGGTAATTGAGCAGAATCCTGGCTGTACGAAGTCTGTCGGCGGAGGGACTCGAACCTACCGCAAGAAGCGGGATCGGTTCTACAGTCCGACCCACTAACCCCTAGGCCACTGCTGCTCTTTTTCCATCCCCGTGTGGCACGCCTTTATTGGCTAGGAGGCGATTTTTCGTCGAAATAGTCGATTACCGTAATCCTTCTTGTCTATTTTACCGTAATCTTGAATAGATTAGACGTTCTACCGTAATCTTAAGCAGATTTGAGTCTACCGTACTCCTGGGCATCCTACCGTAATCCTAGGCAGTCTACCGTACTCCTGGGCAGTCTACCGTACTCCTGGGCAGTCTACCGTACTCCTGGGCAGTCTACCGTACTCCTGGGCAGACTATTGTACTCCTGGGCAGACTATCGTACTCCTGGGTAGTCTACCGTACTCCTAGGCAGCCTACCGTACTTCTGGGCAGTCTACCGTACTCCTGGGCAACTTACAGAATCCTAGACACCTTCTACAGTAAGCCAGACACAACCCGTATTTTGAAATTCTGTTACAGTAACCCGGCAGGCTTTTTTCATGTCTTTTCCTTTCTATAACATATAATAATGATCAAATTTCAGTTCTGTCATCAATCCGGAATGAAAGCTGTGCCTCTGAAGCTGAAGCTGAAGTCCTGCTGAAAGCTGAAAGCTGAAAGAAAGCTGAAGTCTTGAAATGCTCGTCCAACTGACTCAAGAAAAACAAAAAATAGTCCCATCGTGCAAATAAATGTATTTATAATCTGAAAAAAATGAAAAAAAGAGTCGTTAACGGATATCCGTTTTCATATATAAAATGAAATTTGTACCTTTTTTGTATTTTATTTCTAAAATTTCAGCTTTCTTCAGCTACTGAAGACTTTTTGTGAAGCAGAAAACACTTTTTGGAAACGATGAAACAGTGGAGTGCTTGCATGGTGAGTTTAAAAGGATTACGGTAGAAGCTAGAGCTCATTTGTCGGTTATTTTACTTTATTTTACTTTATTGCAATTGATTTCCCTAGAAAGAGTTTGTTTAAAGCACAAAGTACACAAAGATCAGCTAGAGTAGTGATTGTTTAGTGTACAAGTACTTACAAGTACTTGTACTTGTTTAGTGTACTTGTAAGTACTTGCAAGTACTTACAAGTACTTGTGACACAACTTGCAAGTACTTGTAAACTACTTGCAAGTACTTGTACATAACTTGCAAGTACTTTGTTCACAAGTACTTGTACACACCTTGCAAGTACTTGTACATAACTTGCAAGTACTTTGTTCACAAGTACTTGTACACAGCAAGTACTTGTACATAACTTGCAAGTACTTTGTACACAAGTACTTGTACACAGGTACTTGTACATAACTTGCAAGTACTTTGTACACAAGTACTTGTACACAACTTGCAAGTACTTGTACACAACTTGCAAGTACTTGTACACAGGTACTTGTACATAACTTGCAAGTACTTTGTGCTTAAACCTTAAACGAACTCTTTCTAGGATCCTTGAGCCAAAGTTTTTCTTCATTAAAAGAAAATAAACTAAAATAATCGACTTTTGATTGACTGATTGAGAAATTTTATTGATTTTTTTGATCTAAACGGGAAAGTACTGGGTGAATATGGAAATTTAGATTTAAATTAGAAATTTAGATTAAGATTAAGGCAAAAAAGGACAACAGATTTGAAATCAGCGTGAAATTCTGCATCAGATAGTCTAATTTCGATTCGTTTCGATTAATCACTTCGATTTCATGACTTTCCCTTGTAAGTTTTGATTTTGAATTTGATTTAAGTATTTAATTTCATTTAATTCTGATACTACAGTATGCTAAAATGGTAATTACTTGTCTAATTTAATTCTGATACTACTAAAATGGTATTTGCTTGTCTAATTTAATTCTGATACTACTAAAATGGTAATTGCTTGTCTAATTTAAGTCTGATACTACTAAAATAGTAATTACTTGTTTCTATTCACCCAGTACCTTTCACTTATTAGAAGAGGTAAGCTGAACTGTGATCCTATTGACTAAATCGTTTTCGAAAAAGTGCGGGAAAGGTTACCGGAATCTGGTAGAAGCTAAGGGCTTTTAAAAAAGACAGTCGGGTTACGGTAGTTTTTAAAGCCAACAGGATTACTGTAGCTTTACAAGACAGCCAGGTTACTGTAGTTTTTAAAGAGGCCGGGTTACTGTAGCTCCGAAAGACAACTGGACTACTGTAGCGTTAAAAGACAGCCAGATTACAGCACTTTTTAAAGACAATCGGATTACTGTAGTTTTTAAAGACAGCCAGATTACTGTAGCTTTAAAAGCCAGTCAGATTACTGTAGCTTTAAAAGACAGCCAGTTTACGGTAGTTTCTACAGCCAACAGGATTACGGTAGCTTTTAAAGACAGCCCGATTACTGTAGCTTTAAAAGCCAGCCAGATTACTGTAGCTTTAAAAGCCAGCCAGATTACTGTAGCTTTAAAAGACAGCCAGGTTACGGTAGTTTTTAAAGCCAATCGGATTACGGTAACTCTTAAAAGAACCGTAATACGGTAGCTCAAGAAAAACGGCCGGATTACGGTAGTTTTCCGGGCACTTTTTAGAAAACGGTTCAAAAGGGTTACTGTCGATCTAGGCTAGGCTAAGCTAAGTAAGTTTATAACAAAATAAATCCGTCTGTAAGTATTGTAACTTTACAAAAAAGGTAAGTTGAAATGTGGCCAAGAAAGGACAAGAAATGGAAAGTGGTTTAGCGCCGAGACGAAGGCGTAAAGAGCTCGAGTCACAGACAGCGACAAAGAGACAGATCACACAGTTCTGACGATGAATGAGACGAGGAGGAGACCCTCATGTACATAGAAAATGACTGTACATAGAAAAATACTGTACATAAATAGGACCCACCTTTCAGGGACCCAATAGCACATTTGGCTTGACTCTTTCAGTTTTCTCTCTCTCGCTGAGAGGAGTACCGTGCTTTGGAAGCCTATAACTTTGTCTAGAGACAATATTTTTGCTGGCTTTTTAGATCATTGGACAGAGGAGATTTCAGGCTTTCGAATAATACCAAATAGAGACCAATTGGACTAACCAATTCAGAGAAAATCAGAGTCAACTCTGAGGAGAGAGGCCAGTCCGACTCTGGTGTCGTTTTAGCTGATTTTCATGGGATTGAAAAATCCAATCAAGCTTTATTTAATATCATTGGAAAGCTTAAAATCTCCTCTGTCTAATGATCTAAAAAGTTAGTAAAAAATATTGCCTCTAGACAAAGTTATGAGCTTTCAAAGTGTGAGAAGCCGTTGATCTTGGTCGGGTATCTTGGTCGTCATACTTTGGAAGCCTATAACTTTGTCTACAGAGAATATTATTGAAAACTTTTTATATCATTGGACAGAGGAGATTTTAGGCTTTCGAATAATACCAAACAGAGACCAATTGGACTAACCAATTCAGAGAAAATCAAGAGAGAAATCAAGAAAAACGCTAGAATCAAGCTGTACTGGTTTCTTCGGTTTAGCTGTTATTTTCTCTGAATTGGTTAATCCAATTAGCTTCTATTTAGTATCATTCGATAGCCTAAATTGTTCTCTAATCAAATATTTAGCTAATATTATCTGTAGATAACGTTAAGAGGCTCTAAAGCTCGAACCAACGACAAGAGTCTAAAGAAATACAAGGTGGCGTACTTCAGAGGGTTTAGATTGGCTTAATAGATCAATTTTAATCAATTTTCTAGAGAATTTCTGCATAGAACACGTAGAATTTCGTTTATTTTATTTAATAAATTGAATTTTAACGTGTTTTTGACAAGATTTTTGTGAAAAATCAAAAAAAATGATTAGCGATCGAGCGAAAATCGGCTTTAAACTTTAGAATGTTATATAAAAAAGTTGAATGATTGAATCGATTAGAGAATTAGACAAGTAAAAGAAGAGATATTGAAGAAATAGCTGAGAAAAAAGCTAAAGGATTGCTTGAATTTTGGTCAATCTAAGAGCTCTGAAGTGCGGCGTTGCCTTGTAGGACTTTGCCATGTGCTTTGACAATTACAGTAAGCCCTTTCAGAGACCCCGATTGCTCGTTTTATGACACCGTATGCCCTGTACTAAAAGGAGACGCCGGAGTACTGTATCGTCTGTGACTGGGCTACGGTAGCCAGGCTTTAAAGCAGTTGCCATAAACCTCTACAGTTCCCCAGCTCATCGAGGCTCTTCCCCCAGTGCAGGGCTACGGTAGCTATGCAATTTACACAGTACATAGTATTCTGCACTGTGTACATAGTAAAGTACAGTAAATAGTACAGTACAGTACAGTACAGTGCATAGTACAGTACAGTGCATAGTACAGTACAGTGCATAGCACAGTACAGTACCAGTACATAGTACAGTACCAGTACATAGCACAGTACCAGTACATAGTACAGTACCAGTACATACTGCAGTGCCAGTACCGTACAGTACGCAGTACAGTACAGTACAGTACATAGTACAATACAGTACACAGTACCGTAGAGTGCAAAGTACAGTACAGTACATAGTACGGTACAGTACAGTACAGTACGAGTACATGCTGCAGTTCAGTACATAGTACAGTACACTACATAGTCCAGTACCGCGCACAGTACAGTACCGCACACAGTGCAGTCCAGTACACAGTATCGTACAGTACAGTACATAGTACAGTACAGTACACAGTACAGTACACAGTACAGTACACAGTACAGTACATAGTACAGTACAGTACTCTGTACTTTTACATAGCTTTCGCATTGTTTACTGTACAATTTTTTCAAATTTCAAATTTCAACTCAAAAAGCTGCTCTTGATGAAGAAGAAAAAGTGATGTTGATTTCAAAAAAAATTGAATTTTCAAGACAAAGCACTTTGTGGGGCTATCCACGAAGTGTGTGTGCTTTGAAATTCGGATTTAAAAATTGATATTGCATTTTCGGAAATTGAATCAATTCCTATTTCAAAAAGCGCTTAAAAATGACCCTTTTTTTTGCAGTCATCCCGTGCCTCGACGTCGACCTCGACCGACACCGATTCCGATGGTGGATCGACGACGAATTCGATCAACTCGATCAACTCGATCAACTCGATCAACTCCAATCAATCTAGACGAAGAGGCGCTGAGAATGAGAGACGATTGAGGGACGAGGCGAGGCAGAGAGCACTCGTTGAGATCCGGAGAAGAAGCCACGCACAACGTTTAGCTGGTGGGTTTAGGGCAGGTTGGGAGAAGAGTTGGCGCTGATTTTCCTCTTAAACACATCCGATTTCCTCGTGTAATAGCTCATTCAAAAGCTAATTATCTAGCAAATTGAATAGAAAAGATCATTTCTCCATTCATTGACTTTCAAATTTTTTACGACCTTTTTACTAAGGTGTCTTAGGGTCGAGCTACGGTAGCTTTAGAAAGAGGGTCGGATTACGGTAGATCTAGAGAGACGGCCGGGTTATGGTAGCTTTAGAAAGACGGTCGGGCTACGGTAGCTTTAGAAAGAGGGTCGGATTACGGTAGATCTAGAGAGACGGCCGGGTTATGGTAGCTTTAGAAAGACGGTCGGGCTACGGTAGCTTTAGAAAGAGGGTCGGATTACGGTAGATCTAGAGAGACGGCCGGTTATGGTAGCTTTAGAAAGACGGTCGGGCTACGGTACTTTAGAAAGAGGGTCGGATTACGGTAGATCTAGAGAGACGGCCGGGTTATGGTAGCTTTAGAAAGACGGTCGGATTACGGTAGATCTAGAGAGACGGCCGGGTTATGGTAGCTTTAGAAAGACGGTCGGATTACGGTAGATCTAGAGAGACGGCCGGGTTATGGTAGCTTTAGAAAGACGGTCGGGCTACGGTAGCTTTAGAAAGAGGGTCGGATTACGGTAGATCTAGAGAGACGGCCGGGTTATGGTAGCTTTAGAAAGACGGTCGGGCTACGGTAGCTTTAGAAAGAGGGTCGGATTACGGTAGATCTAGAGAGACGGCCGGGTTATGGTAGCTTTAGAAAGACGGTCGGGCTACGGTAGCTTCAGAAAGACGGCCGGCTTTCGGTAGATCTAGAAAGACGGTCGGGCTACGGTAGCTTCAGAAAGACGATCGGATTACGGTAGACCTAGAGAGACGGCCGGGTTATGGTAGATCTAGAAAGACGGTCGGCTTTCGGTAGATCTAGAAAGATAGCCGGGTTACGGTAGCTCTCCGTGTATTCATCTTGTTAGCGTGCATCAATCCGTTTTCCAATCAATCAATCAACAATCAAAAGTCGAGTGGATCCTTAGAATATTCTAGATAAATCCTAAAGTTTGCAAGAAGGCGTTTCACTGAAATTTACAATGATTGGATAATATTTATTCACATAATGTGGCACAATACACAAGCAAAACCTCTAATACAGGAAAGAAAGTCCATAAATATCTAGCCTAGTCTAGCCAATAATCTAGCCAATAACCTAGCCAATAACCTAGCCAATAACCTAGCCAATAATCTAGCCAATAATCTAGCCAATAATCTAGCCAATAATCTAGCCGGCGGGATTGAACCCTTGACCTCTGGACTAAGAGACTAAGAGACAAGGCTCTTAGCCAGTCGGTCAATAATCTAGCCAATAATGGCGGCCAGGGATGAAGTTTTTAAAATTATCCTTTAATTTGTAGCTCGTCGAGTGGCTCAAGCGCGCGCCGTGTTGCGAGCGAAATTCTTTCTCGGTCAGGATATGACGTACGCGAAAATGGTGTTGAAAGAGAATCGTGAGCTCCGGAATACGAATCAACACCTGAATGACAAGGTGAACATTAGATGGATGTGGGAACTGAAAGCTGAAACTGAAAGCTGATAGTTATAGCTCAATTTTGACAACTTTAAGCTCAATTTCGTCAACTTTCTTTTAGCGCTCCTTCTGAGGCACTTAATTCTTCACTTTTCTTCACTTTTCTTGCGATATCTAATCGTTTCTATAAGAAAAAAATGAGGAATTCTGTGCTTAGAAAGATTTTGTGCTTAGTTTTTACAAATTTAAGTACAATTTAAGTACAATTTAAGTACAAAAAGTACATTTTGAGTAAGATTTAGACACTAGAAAAGGTAAGAAAAAAGGATAGAGACTGTAATTTGTAAGAAAAGTATTCTTGTAGTGTACTTTGTGCTCGATTTTGTAAACGCATTCCTTCTAGTGCAGTTGATTCTTCATTTTTGGCCTAGAAACAATGCTGTGAATGAAGAAAAGAAAGAATTAAGTGCACTAGAAAGATCGTTTATAGCTCCAAGTATTTTGAACGTCCGGCTATTTTGGTCGTCATACTTTGAAAGCCTATAACTTTGTCTAGAGACAATATTATTGAAATCTTTTTAGAGCATTGGACAGAGGAGATTTTAGGCTTTCGAATAATACCAAATAGAGACCAATTGGACTAACCAATTCAGAGAAAATCAGAGTCAACTCTGAGGAGAGAGGCCAATCCGACTCTGGTCTCGTTTTAGTTGATTTTCATGGGATTGAAAAATCCAATTAGCTTTATTTGGTATCATTTGAAAGCCTGAAATCTCTTCTGTGCAATGATATAAAAAGTTAGCAAAAATATTGCCTCTAGACAAAGTTATGAGCTTTCAAAGTGTGACGAGTCGTTAAAAAAACAATTTTTATGAAAATAGCCGGATTCTTTGAAAATAAAACTATGTAAGAGTCGCAGATTTCATGGAATTATCATAATTGAATTAGCAAGCTTTAATTCGTTAACAAAATAGGATCAAAAATTGGGTTACTTTTCAATTCTCGCATTTTTGAAGGTACGTGAAATGGAGGCGGGCATCGCTGCGATGCGCGCTTTCCTCGCCGCTCGCTCGAAGCCTCAATAAATTGGAATGGATAAAAAGAACTCCGAAATTTCGAATTCGGGCAATATTTTCGTAAAGCCATGGAAGGCTTTTGTAATTAGTTACTTTTAAACTACTTTAAATTGATTCCCTTTTTGAATCGTACAATCGTACACTCGTACAATCGTACAATTTGAATCGTACAATCGTATAATCGTATTTTCTGGATCAATTTTAGTAGTTTGGTGTTGAAGCCTTTAAAACTACTGTACTTTTATCCACGTTTTAGAAAGCTGAATTGCAAGAATCGCAAGAATTACAAGAATTACAAGAATTACAAGAATTTCAAGCTCTTTAATATAAAATACAGTAGTTTTATAGGTAAAAAAACTAGGTGAAACAAAGTTAAAACTAGGTAAAACTGCACTTTTTCGGGAAAAATAACCTCTCTTCGGTTCTCTGTACATTTTTCTAGCAACTAGTCAATGTTTGAGAATCCTAAGCGATCAAATTTGAGCTTTGTACTTTGTGCTTTCGTAAACGTACGATTTCTAGCGCTTTCTGGGTTTTTATCTTCTCTCTGTGCGCCAGAAAACGTACATTTACAAGAGCGCAAAGTACAAGCGCCGAATTTTTCCCTAGCAGGCTTGAGAGTCGCTTTTTGCCCTTGAAATTCGGGTCTTTGGCTTTTTAGAAAAGAGTTTGAATGGAAATTTGCATTTAGAGTCTAGCTTTGGATGGGAATTGGCTTTGAAAGCCTAATTTGGATCTAAATTTGCATTTAAAGCTGAATTTGAATGCAAATTTCCATTTAAAGTCTAGATTTGAATGTAAATTTCGATTTAAAGGCTAGATTTGGATCTAAATTTGCATTTAGAATCTAGATTTGAATGCAAATTTGCTTTGAAAGCCGAATTTGGATCTAAATTTCGATTTAAAATCTAGATTTGAATGCAAATTTCGATTTAGAGTCTAGATTTGGATGGGAATTTGCATTTAAAGCCTAATTTTAATCTAAATTTAGATTTAAAGCCTAGATTTGAATGTAAATTTGCACTTAAAGCCTAGATTTGAATGTAAATTTCGATTTAGATTCCAGATTTGGATGGAAATTTGCGTTTAAAGCCTAATTTAGAACTAAATTTCAATTTAAAGTCTAGATTTGGATCAAAATTTGCGTTTAAAGCCTAATTTTAACAAATAGATAAAGCCTAGATGAATGAAAGCCTAAAGCCTAGATTGATGAATTCGCAGTTTGGATCAAAATTTGCGTTTAAAGCCTAATTTGAACGTAAACTTTGATTTAAAAGCTAGATTTGAATCTAATTTTGCATTTAAAGCCTAGATTTGAATGTAAGTCTCCATTAAAAGCCGAATTTGGATGGAAATTTGCATTTAAAGTCTAGATTTGAATCTAAATTTACTTTGAAAGCCTAGTTTAAATCTAAATTTCCATCTAAAGCCTAGATTCGAATCCAGATTTGCATTTAAACTCGAAATTTCATCATCCTAAAGCACCAATCCCATTGCCCAAGTGTACTTTGTGCTCAAATTTCCAAGCACACCCTTCTGCCGGCACGGGATTCGTCATTTATCTAGCTAAAATGCTTTCGTTTTGCTAGAATATTGACGAATTCATCGTCGGTTTGCAGAAGATCCGTTTTTTTTGTGAAAAAATCAGCTCAAAGTACCAAAAGCTTCTATGATTATCCCAAAAAATTCACGAATTCCATCCCGTTTTCTTTGTAAATAAGCTCTCGTTTTTTTTTTTAGTTGAGAATTTGAGCGAATTTTTAAATGCGAAAAGGAATTGGCATCAAGATTTGATCAATTTTTAAATCATTTTTCAAATTCGCTTTAAAATTCACTTTAAAATCTCTTTTTTTCAATTTTCATCATTTTTTTTCATATTCGGATACTCGTTTTTGCGGGTTTTCATCACAAAAAAAAGAAAACAAAACAAAAAAAGCACAAGAAGAAAAAGATATTCAACTAATTGTCGAAATATCAGGCTTACTTGTGGAAATATCAGATTTCAGATCTAAAAAAAACCCCTTCAAAGGTTTGCTTTTTAAAAAAAAAATGACAAAATCAATAAAATTTTAAACAAATTTCTTTCAAAATACACAAAAAAGACAAGAAACAAAAAAAAGTCCGTTTCAGAGGAGAATGAATCTTCTCAGATTCGGACGTAACATATATATGCTTTATTCAGGGGCGCTGCTTTATTCTTTATTCAGAAGTGAGTCAGAAGATCATAACCACATATAACATATTGTTACAATACTTTCACAGAAAGAAAGAAAACTAAAAATGGTACAGTAAGACTACAGTGAGGAAACACAGGTACAAAAAGATTAAATATAGGGCAGATTCGACATGGCAATAAGATCTAATTCGTTTACAGATACTTTCAATTTTCCTACAGAGGAGAAGATACCGGACGGGAGCTTATTCCAAGTCCAAGACGGGGCTATTCCAAGTCCAAGACGGGGCTTATTCCAAGTCCAAGACGAGGCTCTTCCAAGTCCAAGACGGGAGCTCATTCCAAGTCCAAGACGGGAACTCATTCCAAGTCCAAGACGGGGCTATTCCAAGTCCAAGACGGGGCTTATTCCAAGTCCAAGACGGGGCTATTCCAAGTCCAAGACGGGGCTTATTCCAAGTCCAAGACGGGAGCTTATTCCAAGTCCAAGACGGGAGCTCATTCCAAGTTCAAGACGGGGCTTATTCCAAGTCCAAGACGAGAGCTTATTCCAAGTCCAAGACGGGAGCTCATTCCAAGTCCAAGACGGGGCTATTCCAAGTCCAAGACGGGGCTATTCCAAGTCCAAGACGGGGCTTATTCCAAGTCCAAGACGGGAGCTTATTCCAAGTCCAAGACGGGAGCTCATTCCAAGTCCAAGACGGGGCTTATTCCAAGTCCAAGACGGGGCTATTCCAAGTCCAAGACGGGGCTTATTCCAAGTCCAAGACGGGAGCTTATTCCAAGTCCAAGACGGGAGCTCATTCCAAGTTCAAGACGGGGCTCATTCCAAGTCCAAGACGGGGCTATTCCAAGTCCAAGACGGGAACTCATTCCAAGTCCAAGACGGGGCTTATTCCAAGTCCAAGACGGAAGCTTTTTCCAAACCCTACTAATACGGTTCGCAAAAGAATGATAGGGGGAAAGATGATGGGGATGAGATATGATTTGATAAGGATCACCGAAATTTGATAAGGATGACTACGTGTACTTCTAGGAGTTTCCACAATTTTAGGAATTTCGGCAACCGAAGGCTTTGAAATTCTGGATGCGACTTAAGGTGGAATAGCAATAGCAGAAAAGAATAGCAAAATCTAGCAAATTTTATATCAAAAAATAAGATCAAAGTAAATACGGCGATATAAAAGGTGGTTTTAAATCAAAAACTATAAGTTTAGTCTCATAATTTGGAATAAGTGAAGAAGGGAAACAACGAGTGTATGCTTTAGTGATGCTTATTTTAGTGCTCATTTTTTTAGTGAAACGCTGTTGGACATTTTCAATCAAGGTGATCAAGTTTCTTAATGGAAGGTGACCATACGATGGTGGTAGACTCGAGCAAAGGCCGGTAATAGGTTATGTAAGTCGCGACAAGTCTGCGTCTCTGCGATAAGTCTGCGTCTCTGCGATAAGTCTGCGTCTGCGATAAGTCTGCGTCTCTGCGATAAGTCTGCGTCTCTGCGATAAGTCTGCGTCTCGCGATAAGCTGCGTCTCTGCGATAAGTCTGCGTCTCTGCGATAAGTCTGCGTCTGCGATAAGTCTGCGTCTGCGATAAGTCTGCGTCTCTGCGATAAGTCTGCGTCTCTGCGATAAGTCTGCGTCTCTGCGATAAGTCTGCGTCTCTGCGATAAGTCTGCGTCTCTGCGATAAGTCTGCGTCTCTGCGATAAGTCTGCGTCTGCGATAAGTCTGCGTCTGCGCTAAGTCTGCGTCTGCGCTAAGTCTGCGTCTGCGCTAAGTCTGCGTCTGCGCTAAGTCTGCGTCTGCGCTAAGTCTGCGTCTGCGCTAAGTCTGCGTCTGCGCTAAGTCTGCGTCTGCGCTAAGTCTGCGTCTGCGCTAAGTCTGCGTCTGCGCTAAGTCTGCGTCTGCGCTAAGTCTGCGTCTGCGCTAAGTCTGGTTGGCTAAGTCTGCGTCTGCGCTAAGTCTGCGCTGGCTAAGTCTGCGTCTGCGCTAAGTCTGCGTCTGCGCTAAGTCTGCGTCTGCGCTAAGTCTGCGTCTGCGCTAAGTCTGCGTCTGCGCTAAGTCTGCGTCTGCGCTAAGTCTGCGTCTGCGCTAAGTCTGCGTCTGCGCTAAGTCTGCGTCTGCGCTAGTCTGCGTCTGCGCTAAGTCTGCGCTGCGCTAGTCTGCGTCTGCGCTAAGTCTGCGTCTGCGCTAAGTCTGCGTCTGCGCTAAGTCTGCGTCTGCGCTAAGTCTGCGTCTGCGCTAAGTCTGCGTCTGCGCTAAGTCTGCGTCTGCGCTAAGTCTGCGTCTGCGCTGTCTGCGTCTGCGCTAAGTCTGCGTCTGCGCTAAGTCTGCGTCTGCGCTAAGTCTGCGTCTGCGCTAAGTCTGCGTCTGCGCTAAGTCTGCGTCTGCGCTAAGTCTGCGTCTGCGCTAAGTCTGCGTCTGCGCTAAGTCTGCGTCTGCGCTAAGTCTGCGTCTGCGCTAAGTCTGCGTCTGCGCTAAGTCTGCGTCTGCGCTAAGTCTGCGTCTGCGCTAAGTCTGCGTCTGCGCTAAGTCTGCGTCTGCGCTAAGTCTGCGTCTGCGCTAAGTCGCGTCTGCGATAAGTCGCGTCTGCGATAAGTCGCGTCTGCGATAAGTCGCGTCTGCGATAAGTCGCGTCTGCGATAAGTCGCGTCTGCGATAAGTCGCGTCTGCGATAAGTCGCGTCTGCGATAAGTCGCGTCTGCGATAAGTCGCGTCTGCGATAAGTCGCGTCTGCGATAAGTCGCGCCTTTAGGGAAACAATCTCAAATTCAATTTCTAAGTCAATTTCAAGGTCAATTTCTAATCCAATTTCAAATCCAATCTCTAATCC